TGTCCGGCAGTTTCCGGGGGGGGAACGGTTCCTGGGGGGGGGGGGGGGGGGGGGGGGTACTCTTATGTCTTTCATACCTTGGCGGTTAGATGATTGACCACGCGTCCTCGAGAGAACGGAGCATTGTTCCCACAGGACCGATCACCGATGGCCAATCGTTCCTTCCTACTTTGCCAAAGGTGGCTCAAAAACGTCTTCCCTCGTCCATCTATCCTACCGATATCGATTGCCCTACATGGTAGCCGGGGGGGAGGGGGCGCTGGCTCATTGGCTCACAGTAGTGGCCCCGGAAAAATGCACGTTGGCGTAACCCGTTTTATGCAGGTCATAAACTATGGTTTGTGTATCATCCTGGTTCTGGCAGGGCATATCGAGTGGACTGAAAACGGAAGATAGGGGGGGGTGGTGTAGTCATGTAAACGCATGCCGTAGCCGTTAGACCATTGACCTCGCATCCCTACAATATGCCGGAACGGAGGAGCGATATGCCGGGTTTCCGCCGGCCCATGCTACAGAGTCGTGGTCCCGGCTCAGCGGATCCCTGTTTAGCGGATATAGGTAGCCTTCTGTGACACTATGGGCCTCTTCAACCGGGACAACGATTGTACACACGTTTCACAAGGATGAAGCAGAAGCTGGTCACCATCCTTGCATTTGCCGAGGGACATCGGGGAGGGGGAGGGGGTGAAGCAGCGTAGGCGTGGGGAGACGGAACAACTCAAGCCAAAAATGCTTGCCTTGGTGGATTTTCGTCTCAACACAGCAGCAACGCAGGCAATCCTAGTGCGAGTAGAGTCGAAACGCAGGCCGGAAGGGGGGGTACTGGTCCTTGCTTTGCCTTTCACAGATGTAGTCGTGCACTTGAAGTTACATCCATTCACACAGAAAGTTCTTCCGAGAGAAAGAAACACTCCGTCGACGCCCGTGTGCCTACAGTACAGCAGTACAGCGGTTACGGCAGACCTGAGCAGCGACGGGATGGGCTCAGAGGCAACGTCCTCGAAGGTGAAGGTCTGCTCCTCCTCCTTCAGCTCCAGCCCCCTAGACGCAACACCTGGAACAACAGGGGGATCAAAATAAAAAATAGGGGGGGGGGGGGGGGGGGTACTGATGTTTGGCATGCCTTAGGTACTTGACCACGCGTCCTCGAGAGGACGGAGCATTGTTCGCACGGGACCGATCACCGATGGCCAGCGGGGTGCGGGCAGGTGTGCTCATGTAAACGCATGCGGTACTCGTTAGACCATTGGTCTCGCACCCCTAAAATGCCGGGACGGAGCGATGTACCGGGGGGTGGGGATAAGAAAAGCTATTAATACAACTTTTCCCCACAAGGGTCGGATCGGCAACGAAACCGGGGTGGTGCAATTCTTGCGCGGTCGAGCGATCTCCTGCTCCTCCTCCTCCCCCCCCCCCTCCCCCTCCTCCTCCTCCTCCTCCTCTTCACCCCCCTCCTCCTCCTCACCTCGGAGCCGTCTTCCTTGAGAAGGAGGCCGGTGACGACGGGGATGTGGAAAGGCAGAGTGTCCTCCTTCTTGCTGGACTGCTTGAGGGTCAGCTTGTACGTCTTCGCCTCCGCGTCGTACTCTCCGGCGGCGGACACCTCGGGCGTACCGGGCTGACAGCACCACAGGGAAAAGAAGAAGAAAAAAAAAGCCGAGAGCATTTTCAGATTTTGAAGGGTCAGGTGCATTTTTTATTCTTCTTGGTGTGTTGTGTACAAATAGAATACACGAACGTGTGCAGGAAACCAGATTCTGGAAGGAAAACGTTGTTGTGGTACAAGTACAGCAGTGTAGAGGTAGGTCCCTGTCTATTGCGGGCATATGCCAAGCGACTTGACCCGAACTAAAACCGGCACCTATTCAAAGTGTAAAACATATTGATCATTATTCTTGTGTCAACCAAATTCTTTTGGCTTGCGGACCCTTCGGGTCCATTTTATTTTCGTATACCTTTTGTGGGTAAGTTAGCCTGTGACCACGTGAATCGACCCCGTCAAGTGTTCGACTAATAGTACGGACAGAAGAAGGTACTGGGCAGAGAGAACGGAACGGTTTTTAATGTGAAGACAACAACAACAACAACAACAACAACAACAACAACAAGGACGCCCTCACTGTTCAGGGATCTAAGATGGTGACATACTCGATACATGTCACCTATCTTCATGAACCTTCATCGCTATTATCATGCGCACACCTGCAAGTACCAGCGCTCGAACTGGTCGAGGTTGACGTCGTTAGCGTCGGCCATAGCGGCGCGGAAGTCGTCGCAGCTCACGGCCTGCCCGTCGTGCCTCTTGAAGTACAGGTCCATGCCCTTGCGGAAGCCGGCCTCGCCCACGAGGGTGCGGTACATGCGGATCACCTTCCAGCATTTGTTGCAGAGACAAACAAACCAACACGCCGCGTCGGACGGCAATCCATATATTGTATAAGTCACTGAAAACGTGTTGTGTTGAACAATTGGACAACAAGGCCGTAGTGACAACGAGACGTTGCGGTACAAGCGAAAGCCTCCCCACCGGAGGGCAACAAAAAAAAGACTGAAATTTCAAACTTCAAACATCAAGCACGGCAACCGTGACCTAGAGAGGGTACGGTATGCATACATGCGAAAATTCACTTGCCCGTAAGTGTGCTAGAATGGAGGGTTCTTATAATAGTAAAAGCTAGCGATCTTGCATCTATTATATAAGCATTGTTTATTATCCGCGAGTCCTACTCGGTGTGGAGCCAGCCGCGTTACAATCTCTGCCGGACTTGCTTCCTACCGCTCGCTTCACTGGGTGCTCGCTGTACGTGATGGCCACGCCTTCATCTCAACGCTGCGAAGACAACCAAAATGACGTGTCCTCGTTGTCGTTGGATCTCTTCTCCATGACTTACTTCATTGACTCCCGAGGCGATGCCCTCACGTCTGCGTAGCGCATGTACCGCAGGTGACGTAAGAGACATCGCACCCCCTCGATCGATTTTCACAGCTCCATTACTCGACGAGAGGGCACATACATCATAAGTCACAACGATGGTACGTTTTTGGAAACCTCTCTACGACACGGTACACGGTACCGACGTCGCCTTTATCGGCACCGTCAGTATTTCTGCTGTAGAGCAACCGAGCTCTGAAACTCGGTCCAGGGGGTGCAATACCTTTTCATGTCGCCTACGGTAATTACACTCCAAGGCGATGCCCCCATGTCGGCCTGCGCTGCGAATGTAGCAGAATCACTCACGCAGACATGTAGCTGTATAAAACATTCACACTTTTTACCTCGGCGCCCTTGACGTAGACGGTGGCCGTGTAGAAGTTGTCCATGGCGATGTACGACTCCGGCCGGATTGGGTGCGACAGAGGACCTGCGTCCTCGGGGAACTGCCGCGATCTGAGCGTCCGCACGTCCTAAGGCACGCCACACGTCGGCAAAACAACAGCAAACACCAAAACGGAGGTGTTCAATTGATTGTGTCTCTATTCTATATCAAACAAAAAAGGGGGAGTTATATTCAACAAATTGTGTAAATTGTGTAAATTGTGTGTGTGTTTTTGTTAAATATTTGGTGTTGGGGACGACGAAAATAAAATCATACACACCACCAACCACGCGCAAGGGGGGGCCGTGGTTTGTTCGTTCAACGGACAACCGGAGCCTTCGCACGCCCTACTCGGCACTTAGAGTCGGCAGAGACGACGACGACGAGGAAGGGGGAGTTGGTTTATACAATGATGATGTAAACCGCTTCACTATCACCAACCTTAGCCTTCTCCAATATGACACACATGTCCGTCCTTTTTCGACATCATCTGAACCGCCCTAGTCTTTCCAGTCCCATGAGCAATTTTCAACAACACATATAGTTGTCAAAATCACATCGGGGGAGGGGGGGGAGGGGCGGGGTATGCGGCGCACCTCGATACGCTTGGCGGCGTGCGATCCCATGTCTCCTGAGAAAAGCTGGTCTCGGAACACGGTCAGGCCTTCCTTCAGAGTCAACTGGAACCAGTCCCTGAGGGTGTTGAGGCATCACAAGCGTTGCAGGAGGCACACAAAATATAAACACGCTCGTTCAGACTTGCTTGAGGGGCAAGTACCAGCAGTGTTCACGGTCGAATAAAAATATATATATGGCGAGTTGCAAGGGGTGACGGGTTGCGAGCGGGGGGGGGGGGGCGTACACGTGCCAGTCGGCCAAACACGTGTCCGATAGGTACACGCCGTGTGGCCAACACACCGTGGTACGACGCGAGGGACAACGCGACAGCGGTGCCCCCACGTCACCAAGCGTCAAAGGCGAGAGGCGAGGCCGAGGCGCTGCGCACAAAATAGGCCTGAAACAAAGGGCAAGGAACAACGTCCGTCGCTTCTCGAAAAAGCGGAGTGCCTGCGCCGGGCGCGCCAAGCCGGACATCTCGGAAACAGGACAAAAACGGTCAAGTCACACGCAAGTAGGGGGACAAACAAAAACAGGCCTGTTCCTGTTCGGTAGCGAAAACAGCGCGCTCTGTGCTTGTGCAAACCATGCATGTGGTGCCATATACCGGAGGAGATTGAGAATCGGTGGGAACGGACGACTGTGTTCGTGTACTCCACTCTCACACCTGAACCCCCCAAGTAATCAAACCACCACCATCGTTCCTTGTCGATGATCAGCCTACAGCAGCGCCAAGCAAGAGTGTTCGCATGCCACCTCGCAATCGCTACTATTCCTGCTGTACCGTCGTCTCCGTATTTTCGTGGTCTCCTTGACCAACGTGCGGCACCGTCAAGGACAACGACAGTGAACACGAGATACAGAGCACGCGGCTCAACAGCAGTGGCATGCCTACTTACCGGCGCTTCTACGATTACCCGTCCAGTTTCCTCTCCCCTTGACTACCGTACCGTCAAGCACAATTGCAATCGAATATGTAAAGCACGCCGTTTAATAGCAGTGGCATGCCTACTTACCGGCACGTGACGCGGTTGCCCGTCCAATTGTGGAAGTACTCGTGTCCGATCACGCCCTCGATGCGCTCGTAGTCCAGGTCGGTCGCCGTCTCTGCGAAGTGAAGCGTGTTTTCACGAAACCGAAACGTTCAGATCAGGATGTCTCTCCGTGCCACGTTGACGCGTCATTGGCGACACCATACTTGACGGAATTATATGGACGTTTTTCGTATTATAATGTATTTGTGGTATTGTGTGTGTGTGTGGGGGGGCATCACCTCCTCATCTCAATGACATACAGCAGTATCACTGGCCACACAACATCGTACGCAAGGGGGGTATTTAAGGTTTGGCTTTGGGGAGGACATACATAAGACACGCAAGCTTGCATATCTCTTCTCGTTTCGTTCCTTGTCCGCACCAGGCTTGGCGAGGACGTAGGCCGTGTTGAAGACGTTGAGCCCCTTGTTTTCCATCGCACCCATGTTGAAGTCGTTCACGGCCACCACGTTGAAGATGTCCAGGTCGTACTCCAGCCCGAACTTTTCCTCGTCCCACTTCATCGCCGCCTGCCAAACAACATTAAAAAAAATAATAATAACACACCGAAAGCAGCAGCAGCCCCGCCGCCCGGCAACAGCGAGTGTTTTTTGTGCGTGGCATTCTCTCTGCTCTGCTCGCACTCAACAAAAATCGACATCTTTTGAGTGGTCAAAAGTAAGCGTGCGCGTGTGTAGTGAGCGTCATTCCCACTGTTAATAATGCTGGACGTCGGTTTCCACACATTTCAGCATTAGGTTTATTTTTTTTTTGGGGGGGGGCGCAACTCGGCGAAGAAATCAACGCGCAGCATCTTCCATCGCGTGGGGAGGAGGGTAGAACGTACCAAAAAAACTGTTCCGAGAAAAATAGAGCCACCCGCCCCCCCTGGGACGGTTCTAACTCATCCTTGGCGACGCGCACGCATGTGGGAGCAGACCAAAACCCAAGCAAGCTAGCAGCAGCAGCTGCGGTGGTGGCGGTTGGATGTATAGGTAGATCAGGTGGAGCGACCAAGCGCGAGCGACGTAAGTACCTTGAGGGACTCCATCGCCCAGTCGAGCTGGTCGACGTTCTCCTTCTCGGAGAAGATCTCCAGCTTCACCTGAACAAAAAAGGTCGGCGACGGTTTCATTCTTATTGGTTTATTGCGCCGCACCCATCACCGTCGCAGGTATGGCATACAACAAGGAGCGCACTTATGTTTGGGGAGGCACGCGCGTGAAAGGTGGGGGTCACTCAGGAGGAGGAGGAGAGAAGGCATGAACAGTGAACTTTAATAATGAGAAAATCGGAGTCGCTACTGCTGTACTGCTTGTGACGACAACATGCGGGGTGTCGCAGCAATGTCCACGAAATCCATGGGATGGCTTTCGCGAGAGATATTATGTCGGTGTTGGTACATATGGCACTGCTGTCGACTTGCGTGCCACAGCTCGTTCACTGGACCGCTTCCAAGGACAGGACATGCGACGACTTCTGCGGCATACGCATCCACGGCGACACTTGAATAGCGACGTACATCACACAATATCAGAATGCCCCAAAAACACTCCTCCGAGACCCCCCACCTTGACTTTAACGGGATCGAATCAACACCATGCACGCACACGTTAGAGAGAGGACGAAAACGGCTGGCAGTATCCGTATCCGGAGTAAGTACTGCTATAAAACCCGACTAAATAGTTTCTACTCTACCAAATGCTCTTCACCTTGCGACCAGACTTGGTGACGAAGGTCGACTTGATCGAGCCGAGGTCTCCAGCCACGAGCGCGAAGAGGTACGATGGCTTCGGGATGGGGTCCTCCCAGACCGCGTAGGACCTGCCGCCGGCCAACCAACACCGGGGTATCGACCACGTACATTTCAAACAGCGGCGGCATTATCAGCACGGAAAAGGGCCCAGAGAAGAGACATAGGTAGATATATAGATAGAGAAGGGCGAGATAATGAGAGGGAGAGGGAGAGGAAGAGAGAGAGAGGGAGAGGGAGAGATGGAGAGAGAGAGAGAGAGGTGACTGAGCCTGGGCTCCGTACAACACAGCAGTGCAATAAATATCTGGGTTTACCGTCGAGACGCACACACAAAAAAAGGAAGGGGAAAAAGGGTAGACGCGCACATATCCCGTGCACGTGCCACAACAAGGACCGACCGCGCCGTGCCATTCGCCAAACTATCCTTCCCGTGCAGCTTCGGGGGGGGGCGTGCATCATCAGGTTTGAGGTGGCCAACATGACCTACAACAATGCTGGCTGCAAGGGTGTACATACAGCAAAGAGAGCGCTGGCTGCTGTCCTCTACTGCTGCGGTGCTGTAGTCACGCGTCAACCCCCCCCCCCCCCAATGGTCAAACGATTACGGCATGCACGACTATGAGTACACCCCCCCCCCGGCCTCGGCAACCAGAAAACAGACATCTGAGGGGGCTGACCGCTGCCGCATTCTGCTGCACTGCCTCACTTGTCGACTTTTTCTCCTCCGGGAGGGCTCGGTATCAACGTTGGTGGCACGGGGTTGTTGCCGTTCGAGAGCATCACCGGGAAATCACCAGACGGCCAGGCGTTGAGCCGCACCTAAATAGTGTAACACAAGAGAAGATAGAAAGTGCACAACACCGCACAAGCGTGAGACGGCGGAAAGCGCGATTGTTTCCTCCACAGCACAAGCAGGAGGTGCAACCGCAATTCGCAGAGTGCCACGTAAGAGCAGCGGCAGTACCAGAAGAGAAAGCCGCAGCACTAGCTGCATGGCACACGACCACGAACAGCAGCGGTACTATAGGCAACGTGATCCATGCAGGAGCGCAAAACATCCCGGTATTGTACCTGACCGACACTACCGTTGCGGAAAGTGTCGTCTTGACTCCCTTCGTTCGGCGTACACGCACCAAACACCCTACACACAATAACCGAGTACCTCCTTCTGAGATACCAATGGCTACATATGCCAATACCAGAAATGAGGAAGAACAGCGAGTGTACACCCCCAGTAACCCTTTTGCCAAAAGAGCCCGTGCGAACGCAAAACAACTGGAAAGGGTCAAATAAGCAGCAGCGCTCCAGGTCCGGAAACAAACAACAAGCGAACAATAAGCACGAAAACGGACACATTGATAAACGCGCATACACAGAGAAAAGACAGCAGCACGAAAAAACGAAACACAAAACAAAACACATACGCAAGAGAGAGAATAAAGACGAAAGCACCATAAATTTGAACTAATGATTCACCGAAAAGGTCGACATCACGTCGGGGCGGTCCTGGGCGAAGGTGATTCGGCGGAACCCCTCCGCCTCGCACTGCGTGCAGAAGTTGCCTCCCGAGGTGTAGAGACCCGACAGACGCGTGTTTTCCTTCGGCGCGATCTGAACCACCGTCCCTACGGTGTACCTATACATAGCAGCGGATGCATTCGTCCCATCAAGTGCGGAAAAAAACGAGTTTGATCTCCGAGCATGGGTTGGGTTGGGTTAGCAGAGAGCAATAAACGACTGGCTGACGACGGGGAGTGGCAGCACGTTTGATCTCGAAGCGTGGGTTAGCCGAGGCAAATGGAGGGCTGGATGACGGGGCAGCAGGCCGTAAGGGGAGGGTATCGAGAGTTGCACCAAGGGACAGCAATGGCACGGCTCGCAGAGCATGAGAGGGTATACTACATGCCGCAGGGACCACACACCACCGACAAGACAGGGAAAGAACCTAAAAGCATGGTACATGACAAGAAACACGTAGACACCGGGACTGCTTCGGACGAACCAGACAAGGGCTAATGGCATGTATGCCGTTACACTGGGGGGGGGGGGGGGGGCACTGTGAGGGAATGGTTGGCTTGAGGATAAAAGCTGAGATTCCTTGTAAACCATTGACCGCTTTTGCTCGTTCTCACAACCAGCGGCAGAGCTGCCCCTGTCTCATTCCCAACAAAGCGCCAATTAAACAAAACGCGGAAATGGCCTGCTGCAACACCCACAACCACACAACCACAACAACGGCAAACAATGACGGTTTCGGTGACGTCACTCAAATCCCATGACGACGACCGCGACGGGCGGGTACAATAAAAAGCAACACCCGGGGAACAAGAACGTGATTGAGATTCCACGCGGCCCACGCCTTACTTGTTGCCGGAGGGGAGAGAAGAGTTCTTGATGAGCATGCCATCATCGTTGAGAGAGTAGTCGTCTTCCTCCTGCACGCACGAGTGATTTTAACGAGCAAGTGGTTCGATCGATTCGGATGTATAGAAGTTAAGGAGCAACAACATCGGTACGTGTCGTTGCTCGAGGAATACAGAACGCGTCCGCACTTTTAAGAACCCAGGAGTTATTCAAGAAATTGAGCCTAAAAAACATCAAACCATAAGAACTTGAGCACCAATTGTGAGCTCGGTTGCGAACCCCTACACAAAAACCTATATAGCGAGCATTCTTAGCATGACCCTAGGAATACAGTAGCAACCCCGCCCTCGGCCGAAATTATAATAGAGGTTCTTTAGGGCGGGCGCGTTCTGTGCTACAGAAAAAAAAACAGCAGGGGCCTCGCAAAAACAAGCCGGCACACGAGCTACATCTCCACCTTGCACTTCGACAGGGCCATCGACCCTACCCTTGTCAGCGCCTGTCATGTCGTCGCTAGATGCCACGAGCGACTAAGCGGTCACCTGGAGCTGGGTGACCTCCCCGTTGTCGTCGCGGATGTAAACCCGGAAGAGCTTCAGCTCCTCGCCGTCGAGGAATAGATCCGACCCGGGGGAGTCCGCGTTGCGCTCCATGTCGAGCTCTGACGTCACGACCGTCGCCCCGTCCCCTAGGTTGATGTCCAGGGTAACGTGCCTGGAATTGAGTTGGCAGCAGTGTAGTGGCACAGTAAGCACCAGCATCGCCGCCGAAAAAGTGGATTGGGCACGGAGTAGTGGTACGCAATCGTCTGTTGGGGGGGGGGGGGGGGGGGGGA